TGTGTGTGTGTGTGTGTGTGTGTGTGTGTGTGTGTGTGTTTGATTATAGCCTAAGGATAGTAGTTTCCATCCCTCTGAGTGTGAGATGACAGAGGTCCTTGGCTCAGAGGTGATGTCCTTACAAGTCCATTCTTGTTATTTCTCAGAGGGAGAAGTCAGGGGTGGAATTTACACACAGCAAAAATAAAAGCATAAGAACACTGCAAGGAGAATTTACCCAATAAATCATCACGCAATACATGACTGTGTGACTAACAGTGTGATAGGGACTCTTGCACAACAATTTGTTTTACAAACAAACATGTGAAAGCAGCTTTGCATCGGCTGCAGGGTGATTATTCCCACCCAGAGGTCAACAAGACTTTTGTTCTGACCATCTCACATCATGTTAGTCAACAGTGACATGTCTTTCCTACAGAGCAGCTTTAATGTTAGACTACAGGACAGAAGCCATCGACAGATTTATGTGGGTTCAGGAAGGAAGAGTGTGCCCCATCATCAGCATGGTGAAATCCCCTGTTGGGTTGCTCTGGCCCCGCAGGTGGAACTGGGTGTGTTCGAACATTTTTTTAACATCCCGGAGGTCTTAAAACACAAGCGGAGGCCAAGCGAGGACTTCAGCAGAAGAAATAATTGGTGTGGTACAACGACAATTAGCAGGCAGGAAGAAGAGGGCAGACAAAAAAAAAGATGACTAGAGAGGAGGAGTGAAGTAATAGGAAAAAAGGATGTAGGTGGTGAGAAAAAGAAGAGTGACAACATGATGGGTTTGTGTTTGGTGTCTGCACAGACGTGAATCACTGGGAAACCTTGAATCACCAGTGAGAAACAAATGTGGCTGGTAGCACTCAATGACGGCATGTCTCATTCTCCTCCCTTTTTGGCACATAGGTTRACACTGCAAAATCTGTCCATCTTACCAAGTTTTAAAACCTTATATCAGCCAAAAAGTCTTTTTGATCTTGTTTTGAGACTGATTTACTAAACAAGAACTGATTGTGTAAGAATAATAATCTTGTTTTCAGAATGTGTAAGATTATTTGTCTTGTTAGCTTGAAAAATTGACAAATTAAGTCAAAACTTTCTACCAATGGAGTAAGAAAGTTTTTAGTAAGATTCTTGAAATAAGAAAATATTGAGTCAAATCAAGTATTTCAAGACTAACAAGACAAATAATCTTACACATTCTGAAAACAAGATTATTATTCTTACACAATCAGTTCTTGTTTAGTAAATCAGTCTCAAAACAAGATCAAAAAGACTTTTTGGCTGATATAAGGTTTTAAAACTTGGTAAGATGGACAGTTTTTGCAGTGTATCTGTACTCACTGGTGT